TGAAGGAACCATTAAAACTATTCAATGCATTTAACTCTTTCACGAAGGATTTTTTTTTTTGCTATTTGATGATGTGCAGCTCCATTCAGCTCATGAGTGGCCCACATTCATGTATCATCCCCTCTGTGTTTTTTTCTGTTATGTAATTTCATCCCCATCACACTGCATCAGCCTCACAATGTTTGCTGCCTGGCTTATATGAGCTCATAGGGTATATATATATATATACGTGTGTGCAGGGATGGGCAAAGATATACATCCAAATGTATTTTAAGATAACTTATCAAATACTCTGATTGTAAATGTATCAAAATTAAACTACAAAATACTATACAAGGGAGCATATATATATTTAGCAGTTCAATGATAGTTGGACCATTTTTGAGAGACCAGTGAGGCCTGCCATAAATCTGACCACTCAACACATAGTTCAAATAGTCTAACCTACAGTGCCTGTTGGAAATGAAGGGCCTACCTTGCACCAGCAACACTGACGACGAGTTATTTGAGAATCACGAAACACAAAACATCCTCCACTAAGCTACACACTTAGACTTAAGAGAAGTTGTGAGCTACAGCAAACGCCAGTCTTGTTTCATGGCTTTGCAGCGTAACGTTGTTAATGAAAGTCAGGTTCAAAACACGTGTGCGTGTAGATGTGTGCTTTATTTGTGTTCATGCATGTGTGTGATTTTGACAGCATGTGTATACTTTACGATCACACTTTAATGATTTGAATTTCATTTTTCAGACTACACCTTCTGAACCCTGAAGAAACATGGATGTATCAGCATCTTCGCTCCAGTACGGATCCAAAAAGAGGGTTAAGATTCACCCAAACACAGTGACAGTGAAATATACCACTCATTTGCCCCAGCCTGGTGATGAAGGGTATGATGATGCACCCTCTTTTGAGGAATTTGGCGCCTTCGCAGAGGCTAACGTGGACAAGAGACTTGTCTCAGACAGCAAAGGTGGCAGGACTTTCTTTGGGACCATGGAGACCCCACCTAAGCAGCCAAGTGTGCAAAAAGACAAGGGGGTCGGGGGTCAGCTGGCGAGCTTCGGCGAGGCGAATGTGTTAGCCTCCAGGGTGACCTGGATGGCCTTATTTGGGGCCGCCGTGGCTCACGGTTGTGTGGCACTGATTACTCGTTTGGCAGCCGACCGCTCTAAAGTGCCCTCCCTCGAGCTGCTCTTCATCCGCTCTGTGATCCAAGTGCTGTCCATCCTGGTGGTCTTCTACTACCACGAGGCCCCCTTTGGCCCTAAGGGCTACCGCCTGCGTCTCTTCTTCTATGGCATCTGCAACGTTATCTCCATCACCTGCGCCTACACCTCTTTTGCCATAGTACCACCGAGTAATGGCACACTCATGTGGCGTGCCTCTACCACAGTCTTCAGTGCAATACTGGCCTTCCTGCTCCTGGATGAGAGGCTGGGCTACACAGATGTGGTCACGGTGGTGGGCAGCGTGTTTGGTCTGTGTCTGGTCATGGTGCCAAACGTAGCAGATGAGGAGAAGTCCAGGCTGGGTTTTTGGAAGGAGGCCTTTGGCTACACAATGACAGTGATGGCCGGTTTGACAGCTGCCCTCTCTATGATCGTCTACAGAGCCATTAAGGAGCGCGTCAGCATGTGGACAGCACTCTTTACCTTCGGCTGGACGGGCACAGTGTGGGGCGCCTCCACCATGTTTATCATGCAGGAGCCCATCATTCCTCTAGATGGGGAGACCTGGGGCTATTTAATTGGGATCTGTATCTGCTCCACTGTGGCGTTCTTGGGAGTATACTATGCTCTAAACAGGTTTCATCCAGCCTTAGTCAGCACCGTGCAGCACCTCGAGATCGTGGTTGCCATGTTCCTCCAGCTCATTGTCCTGAGGATGATCCCATCTGTCTACGACGTCATTGGAGGCCTGGTCATCATGATCAGCGTGTTCACCCTAACAGGAGTCAAGCTGTACAGGGTGACCAGGGCCGTTCGGCAAGATTATCAAGAGATCCTGGACTCGCCCATCAAATGAGTTTCCATATGTAAAGTCTGTTTGTTTACAATGTTGCTTGGTTGTGCAATTTAAAGAATGTCTGGTTCTTGATTCTGATGATTTTGTATTGTTGTGTAGTCGGAAGAGTGCCAGTTGTGTAACTAATGTCTTAATATTTGTGTGTGAAATAAAAGACAAACATAATATGGTGACCATTTCCCTATAATGATACTGATACTGATGTCAAATTGTGTCACAGACCAAAATGTCAGCAAAAAAAAGAGGAATCAGTTCCATTTATGTTTGAAATCATATGATATCTGGTCTTGTGAGTGGCATACGGACATTGTTCTATTGATATACACCTTTTACAATCATGACATCAACGGGGTACGTTGTATCCCTCTCTTGTCACGCTGCCACACTTGTCACACTGTGTAAATGTCAGCCCAGAAATCTATCATACTACGTACAAGGATTGAAAGAATAAAAATAAATACCACCCACTTTTCTTAAAACATCTGGTGTTGATTTTGTTTTCCTCAATTACAAATTACAAATTCTCATTACAAACTATATATCCATTAACGAGTGGATTCTTCAAGATTCTGGGAGATCAAATATCTGTTCAGAGGAAAACAAGCAATCTGTACTTTTTTCTCCTGATGCTTTGTGCACAAAATGCACCTTTTTCAGTGTTTTTCTCATTGCCTCTTCCTTACATCATGACCCCAGCAGCTGGTTGATACTTAACACCAGTGATTACTTCCCTGCACGCTTCCTCTGTTTGCTTTCAGACGCATATCAAGCTAATGGCCAGAGGCATGTGCACTGTATTGAATTAAAGCCTCCTTTAATAGCATGAGACCATGTGCTCTTTCTGTAGCGGACATCTCAGCGGCTCACCAGCAACATTTAATTTTCTCTGTGGTTGGTGCAGTCCGTGTCTGCAGCTTCCCTGAGGCAAAGCAACAGTGATGGTATGAAATGAGAACAAAATGATGATGCAGAGTGGATGGGAGAGGACATGTTCAGAAGTGACACAACATGTATGTTGCAACAACAGCCCAGCAGGTGGCATTCACAAACCACTTGCTCTGAGGCTGGAGCTCGAAAAATAAGTTTTATTACATTAAATCATGGAGGTAATTAGTGGTGTATCCAGTGATTAATAATAAACATCTGATTTTATTTTGCAACAGATTTGAACACATGATATAACACACATCATCCAAACCCCTTTAATTTAGTATCAGACACAGACATACATTATTTGACCAATAAGCTGAAAGCACACAGACTGTTTAACACACTTACACACAAAAAGGAAGTAATCAGACTTGTGGTTTTAACCACATTCATTAAAATATGTGCCGCTGCAATAAAATAATCATTTGTAGTGAAATAAAATGATGAGTAAGCTATGAGCTTCAATCAGACCAACAGGTGAAGAACCACCATCATAAACCAATAATCATCTGAACCAGTCTTTTATTTCAGAAACATTTTCTGTCTGTTAGCCATGTTTATTTTTAAAGATTAAAGTTTATTTTTCAAAATATGAAGGTAAATAAACAGAGATAAAGTAGGTTTACCCTCCACTGCACGTGTTGCATTATATAATATTGTGACAAGGTTTTAGGTGCAGAATATGATGTAGAGGCCCATCTGGTTGAGCAGGAAACAGACTGCATCCTGCAGAGAGCTGCACAACCTTCCAAATTACTCTGCATCTCTCATTCTCTTCACCACAGACATGTTTATTAGACCGAGCATCGTTTCCCAGGAGGGGCCAGAATGGAATCTGATGATCAGTTATGTGTGTGTGTGTTTTTCATGGTGCAGATGACAGGGCATTTTCACAAAACTCGTAAACACCAGGATAACTAGACTTTCATTTATTCTAGATTTTTCCCTGTTTATCATTTGAGTCTATATGCTCTTAAGCACAGAGTTACACAAAAAGTAATCAGCTGCAGCCAATATTCATCATGTATGTGTTGTGTATGCTTGTCTACAGGTTCCTAGTTATCACCTCTTCCCTTACATTTATTTTCCATTAAAAATATTAAGTCATTTAATTTGTTCTAAATTATACAGCATGAGGCATTTGCTCACTCAGTCCCACATTGTGCCACTCAGTGTGTAAGAAGCTGAGAATGCAACTTTGATTTCGGATGGCTGATTCTGAGACAAATTAAGATGAGATAAGACATTAAAATGTTACATCATCAGATTCATAGTCAAACTAGGCAGACAACAGAACAAGTGAAGGTATGAAATAGAATAAAATAGGAAATAAAAATAAAAATAGAGTATAAAAAAATGAAGGAATATGTCTATTATGTGCACAATAAGTAATACATTAATATAACAAACATGTAAGTTAATTTATTGCATCAGGATTTTGATTATTCATAGATAGATAGATAGATAGATGGATATATATGTACTTTATTGACCCCAAATTGGGAAATGATTGGGTAACAGCATATCAAGGGCATTGCATATAGAGAGAAGAAGCAATATAACAGATATGAAGACTTAAAATGACTCAAATTAGAATGTAATAATCATAAAATGTTCTGAAAACTGTACATTTACCAAGTAAATGAGACACAATAAAGTACTAAAATACACAGCAAGGTACTACATATAATAGAACAATGAATAAGTCTATAAACAAGAGACTACATGCAAGAGATGAAAACGTATAATAAGAGACAAGTGTGCAAAGTTGCAGTATTTGAGTACTACATAAAATATGAATATAGGGTGTTTTTTAAATGAACTTTTAACATGTATGTCATTCTTGTTCTGCAGCCCTGCATGTTCTGCATGTGCTGTATTGATTAACTTGTCTAAATAATAATAAATCTGTCTCTCCTCTCACACTCAGTTGTAATCTTGACTCTTCACAGCATGAAACATCAGCAGCTGCAGTGTGATCGACTGACATCGCCGCCGTCCAATCAGAGGAGAGTCTGGTCCCGCTGCGGCCAATCGGACGCGAGCGGGGAGGGCGCTGGAGTCGCAACAGCTTGTGTAGCTGCTGCCACTAGCTAGTTCGTTAGCCTAGCTGCGCCGCCGAGCAGTGACATGCTGTGGCACAGAAATGCTATTCCACCGGGGCACAGCGTCGCATCGAGCTAGGCTAGCGTGTCGGGATGGAAAATTAACCGTCTGCTAGACTCAGACTCCAGGAGCCGTTCGTGTGTTTGCGTGACGCCTTTACACGTTGAATATTTCCCACGGGGGGAGAAAGAAGAGGTGGCGGCCACCAGCAGGAGCAGCAGGAGCAGCGGCAGGAGCAGCAGCTAGCAGGTAAGACGTTGTGTGACTGAATGTGAGCTGCCACCGAAGCTACCCACCGTCCCCCAACCACAGCTACAGGCTAGCTCCTGCTAACCTCCAATTCACCCGTTAACGTTAAAGCTCCAGGGGCTAGCAGCTAACTGTGAACCCAGACAAAACCCGTCTGTGTCCGTGCCAACACCACACTGCTCCCCGGCCGGGTAACGGTTAGTGACCCGACATGTTTGTAACCGTGGAAAGCGTTTTTTTTTTATTATTCAGGTTCACGGTGGCTAAGTTCGGTAGCCTGACACGCTGTCAAGTCAGAAGGTGGAAAAAAAGAAGAAAAGAAGCTCAAATTAAAACTGCAGCATAGCTTTAAAATGTGGCTTCGCTTCCCGTCGAGCTGTGCTCCACGTTAACGATTTTCTATCCGAGGTTGAAAATGGAGAGGACGCCTCAGTGGTTTAAAAACGCTGTCTTCTGTTCGACTGCAGCCACAATGTATTTACTGATGCTTTTTAATTTGACCAAAGCCTGGGTTAGTGGTGGGTGCTGTTGCACTGATTGGATCCAGTTTGGTCTCAGTCATGATGTAGTCATCCCCTCACATCAACTTGTGATTTCTTATGGTGTTAAAGAAACGAAAATGGTGATTGTGTTCAGTCCATCACGTCTGGCCTGCACACTAATATCACCTTTAGTTGATGCACTGGCATTAGAGATCATTTTCATCATTGGTTTTTACCAAGTCATTGCATTATAAAATTAATTTAGTCTGTAAAATGTCCTATGAAGCTATCCATCCACCTTGAACTCAGGATGATGGATGGACTTTTTTCATTATCTGTAGGGGCAATTTCTAATCAAATCAAATTAAATGTATTGTCCCCATGGGGCAATTTTTCTTGGGCCAAAGTGCTACAGCAGCTGCAGAACAGTACAACTAAAAACAGTACACAAGGACATATCGCGTAAGTGAGTTGAATATTGCACCTGAAAAATCCTAATGCATAACAGATGAAAAACACAATAACAAACATTAAAACCTGAAAACTAGAGTGTAAAATGAAAGAAAGTGCAAAGGTTATTGAGATACATGGCAATATCAACATGTATAAGCTACGTTACATCAGAAGGTAACCGGTCAAATTCATAGACCAGAATGTGTGACTGGTTTGACCACAGAACCTTCCTAGATAGTCTGATGGGAAGGATGGTCCTTTTTTTGCCTATCACCTTCATAGTCGTTTTTACCATGTTCTTAATTTGCCTTACAGAAGTAGTCGACGTCAATTAACACAGAGAATATATATGTCGTCAGATGTATGGTTTATCCGATGGGGCAAATCAGTAGCCGTCAACATCAGTGTTCACATTACAGAGACTAAATATGTCTGCAGATGTCTTATTTTTCTTTCTAGAGCCAAACATAACTGTAACAGACTATATTCTGTTGTGGTGATATAAAACAAAGGAAAACAAATCTGCTCAGAAGTAGAGAAACCAATATCTATATACTCTCCTCAATCTATAGAAAGCAGTAAGCAGACAAACTTACTGTGCAAGTGACATCATTTCTGTTTTTCTTGGACAGGTTTGTGATATTTTGCACCCTCTGTTTATCTCCTAATATTGTTTCTACCTTACACAACCAAAGCCTGAGTAAATGTCATCCTTCAGCATCACAATGGGTGGGAAATCTGTATACCTGTTTGTCAGTCTTGCGGCTTATTTTTGTGAAACCTGTTACAAAGCTTGAAAGTTGTTAGATGTCTATGATTTGAGTGTTATATCTCCCAGCTCTTAAATTAAAATGGGTTCTTAGTTAGATCGGAATGATTTTAAGAGGTGTAGCATGTGTGTGTCTTTCCAAAGGGGGGTCTTTTGCAGCTGCTGAATAGTACAGTTTCTGTAATTATTGTCACACTGAAAGACCTCTTCACAGTCTCTCATTAAGGCTTCAGGGAGGTGAGAGGGGGAGAGAGACATTTGGTTCGCTGTAGCTCTCCACTCAGTGGGAGTTGGAGAGAGGGTAGCCACAGTTTGAAGGAAGGGAAATGGTGGAAACCTGCTTTCCTGCATGATTTCCTTGAAGGCTGATGTCATATATCTCTCGAACTCCAAGGCCAAAGAGGTGAACATGTCCATTGGGAGACCTATGGAGGAAAATTGCATAAGTTCACATTCAGGATTCCTAACTCTAGCCCCTGTAGCCCTATTTACTTGTCATCCGTGTTCCATTCCTAGCTCCTGTTGACTTTGATTCACTCTAATAGCAACCCATCTGGATGTTTTGAAAGTGTAATCTCATGAATATATGCAGTGATGAGCTCCTTTTTGTAGAAGACAGTGCCTGGCTAAGGCTACCAGTGGCCTCCAGCAGCCAAATCTGTCCCCACAGCCTAGAGGAAAATACCAACTGTGCATTTTCATGATGGCCAAAAAACTAATATGGCTGAAAATGTTCCTGGTCAAATGACAACCATGGGAGTCTAGTCAGCTTTAGGTTTCTAATGTAGTTGAGAAACAAGGGGAATTTGCTTCTGCAATTTCTCTCTCTTAACCTCTCTTGTTATCTCCCTCATCTCAATTATTGCTTAAGCTCTTTTCCATTTCCTCATTTTCTGTCATGATTTTATTTTTTACTGTTTCTGTCTTACACGTTTGCATTTGACTGCCCAAGCATGTATTCGTATTGGAACAGTCATCGACAAAGGTACTTTTTATATCTTGACTCAGGTCACCTGTTGGAAAAGGAACTTGTTATCAAGGTGCAAATAGCACGAGCAACAAGGGGCAGAAAAAGAATAAGCACTCCTTTTTTTTTTCTTCTTAAATGTTCTGTTATCAGAATCAAGCAGACCTGGTCTATGAAGCCAGGTTAAACTATTAATGCGTGCAAAGGCAAAGTTACTGGTATAAAGTTTGACGAATGTCCTCCCTACGTCTGTGAGGATTCAAATGATAAATATTTCTCATATAGATTGAGAGATACTACTTTCGTAGAAGTGGTGTTCTCCTTTATTAGCTCATTGTGGTTCAGGGGTTTTTTTTGTGTGGGTTTGGCAGAAATAAAAATGAGGATGCATGCACTTGAAATCACAGCGGTCATTGTGATGACAGAAGTTGTTTTGTATCCATTGCCCAAAAGAAGCAATAGTTTCAAAATATGTTCTTAGAAATGTTGATGAAAAGACTTGTGAAGAGGTCTTGCACTGTGATTCACTGAAGCTATATTTAGTCTGCCCACTTCTAGATATCCAGTGTGAATTTGTTAAACCAACAGTAGGTGTAGCCGACGAGTCTACTTCACTTCACCACATTGTTGGCCTCAGGCTCACACAGTGAAACTGTACCGTATGAATATTTTTTAGAATCTGAAATGACATGAAATTGGTGGTCTGTAGGTGGTTCTTGGCCCTGAGGCTTCACTCATTCTTCTGATCTGACCACTTTCTCTCGCTGTCTGATCCCTGCCTGTTTTCTCTTGATACTTTTTAACGGAAACTGTATAAAAATCTAAGCTAAGTCTTTGAGTCTGTGGTCCTGTCATCAGTGTCGTTGGTTACATTTGAAGAACATTCAAAAACCTACAAAACCTTTAAATGGGAGCCTCATACAATTAGAGCCTAACCGACTAATCAGTTGGTTGCTATATATGTCATATATAGCATATATGAGCCTTTCACAAACCTATTGATATAGGCGTTTGGGTATTTGCATCCACCCATGGCTGATAGCAGTCATGTTGGTAATTCAACTCTGCAACTGATCAAAGTTTTTGAAATACCTGAATCCATTATGGGAATATGGGAGTCAGGATCAAAAGATTTGGGCTAAAATTTGCCTTTATAATATATTTGTCCACCCAACTGTTCATTTCAAAATCAACGTCAAATAGATTAATAGAAATCTGTATTTTTTATCTCATTATAGTGCCTTTAAAGTCATTTTGAAAACTGCAACCATCTTCATAAAACTGGTTTCGTGAAAGTGACTGGTTTAGTTAATCCTCTGTCCCATTCACATCGCTGTAACTGGTTTTGTCCTTTGCAGTGGTTAACAACATGCATCTCATCGGCCAATGTCATGTTTGACACTATCACTTGGGGGTGCCAAAGTTGAAATGTTCTCCCGGTGCACTTCAAGGATTTAGGTAAAATTCTACAAGAAAATTTAGAACAGTCCCGTTGCTTAAAATATGTGTATGATGTCTAACTCAGGTCACACAGAGGTGAGAGTTTGTCTTTCTTGTTGCTGATTTGCACTGACCCCAGATTTTTGTGGCATCACCGTGCAATCTGGATTGCCTCCTGCACTCGAAATGCTCATAGACAAGTCCAAACACGTGGTTCTCCCAGACGAATGTCCCGAGTTGCTTGTTTAGTCCTATTGTGACAGCACCCTTGGGCTCATATTTGCCAGGATGTACGGATTCTCAGATGGTGTATCCATTTCATTGCTCTGGCACTGGCTGTCTGGAATTATTATCTTGCGGTTTACAAATGATCTGATATTTTGACTGCAACAGTAACTTGTTCCAGAAGAGTGCAGTTGCCACGGGGAATACAGCTACCAGGGCATTGTGCGCAATCATCTGTTTTACTGACTTCTTAATGCAGCTAATAGATTTTAAGTTGCCTGACAACACACAGGACCAAACCACAACTCTATCATACTGTAGTACTGGATGTTAGGAATGCTTCTGCTCTGTAAACTTGGATTAGTCATTGGGAAAACCCCTGTAGTTCCGAGACTTAGTGAGGTAACATGATGGTTTATTTTGCTGTTGATCCCATATTGCTTGGATGTGGCCATCAGACCTGATAACTGTAAGCAAGCAGGAGATCAAGGACAACAACTGCCAACAGCAGGGTGTGGATGTGTTGGCTCTACTGATGTAGGTGTGGTCTGAGGAAATGGATTCATTTTTGCACAGACGTATTATGTTCGGATTGGTATCTGTTTACAGAGAAGATGTACAGCCTCATGCAATTCCAAGGTGCTAATTGGTTTATTGTGTTTGG